GCAGAACATCGACGTCATTCAAAACTCCTCCTTCTGTTTGCTGATTGGCCCAGGTAAAATAAACTACAAGAGACTCTGCACAGAAAACTGACATTCTGTTCTCTGATTGGCCCGGCTAAAAATCTGCCAGTGAAATCCTTGTCTATTGGAGAAGTCCCAGACGGAGCAGAGAAGGAAACTAGAACTGAGCGAAGCTGCGTAGGAAGGCAAGGGCCAGGCTAAGGATTTTGCTGAACTTTACTGAAGAAGCTGAAACTGAGCTGTTAAAGCTAAAAGAAACAGAACACTAGCTATAGGCTAAAACACAAAAGTAAAAGTTTAAGAAAAAGCAGCAAAACATTAGCTAAATGCTAAAAGTCCAGCTTAAATTTAAAAGGAACAAAGTGATAGTAAGAAACTAAAGGTAGTAAAAGGCTAACTTAAATGTAAATGCAGCAAATGTCTAATTAAAAGTAACAGCTGGCTAGAAGTTAAAGTAGTAAACGGCCAACTAAAAGCTGAATGCAAAAGCAACTGAAGTTTAGCTTAAATTAGTTAAATGCATCAAATGGCTAACAGAATAGCAGCCTATAGCTAAAAGTAGCAGAACAGTAGCTAAAAGCTTCAAGTGGAAAAGGGTAATATAACATTTGAAAATTATAGTAGTGTTTTATGAAGCATGAGGGAAAAAAAGCAGCTGAATATTTTTCAAACCTATAAAAGTTCAGACAGCCCTCGTCTCCTCCCCTCATCTTTAATTATAAATGATTAAAACAACAACAAAGGCAGAACTAGTTAGAGTCTGAAAAAGTTTCTTTGTAGAAGGATTTCATGCAGAACCTGTTCAGAGATCAATAAATCTAAAAACATTCATTAATGTTGGCGATGAACAAACACTGAAGACTGTTGATGGTGTGAGTACACGTCACTAAAAATGACAGCTGTTAAAAAGAAATCACAAAGATTTATTCATATTTATAAGAGGTGTCAGCTGGTTTTAACGATGTGTATGTTCCCAGCTAGGTTTAAAGTCAGACAACAGATTTCTGTCCGATTTGTTGACGACACAATAAATACAGAAAATCATTATCGTTGAAAAGGAAAAAGCCATCTGGAGCTTTACCAGAACACACTGAGCTGCTTATTGTCATTAATTTAACTCATTTTATTTTTTCTTCCTGCTTCAGTTTTACCTGTTGATGTTCTCGAACTCCAGACGTGATGTGCTGCACAGCCGTGTCCAAAAGGTTCACACATAAAACCTGGCCAGGAAGCGCAGAAATTATTAAAATAAAACATATTCACGCCTCTGTGGCAAATAAATGACCTGGTTTACAGCTGGAGGCGTGCGGCCGGACTCACAGGGAACCTGGTGAACAGGTCGGTGAACATCTGAGTGGTCAGAGGGCTTTTCCTCCGACTCAGGAAGGAGAGCAGAGCGTCCCTGAAGAGTCCGGAGACCCGGTCTACGTCCACATTATCCATAAACCTCAGCTGCAACAAAGGATCAGACAGACGTTCAGACTTTCTATAATGCAGAAACTCAATATTTTGACAAAAACAATAAACAATCTTATATTCATTTCCATAGATTACGGAATAATGTGTTAAAACAACTCTTTTAGTTTTTAATACTAAAACAGAACTTCGATTCACGTCTACTGCTTTGTTGTGGAGACRGATAATTCAATAGACTGGAAAATAAAACCTGTCAGTGCCGGCTGATGAGAAATTAATTAGCTCGGAGCGTTTGAGAAAAGACTATTTCATTGCCGGATAGATGTCACTTCTTTTGTATGACACTCTTTTATTGAAAAAATAAATAAATAAATAAATCAGTGTGTGTTTTTGAAAACATCTAACAGCAGCTGCCTCCTTCGGCTGAGCGTCAACATGTCTGCTGATATGAAAAACTGAGATTTAGTCTGTTTTCATTATTAATCACATCATTAAACTGTAAGAACATTAAAGGTCTGGCATTTCTTTACAAACTGGTTACACCTGAGAAATTCTGCTCGTCTTTTAAAAGGCTGTTCAGACCTCTTTACGACCTCTGACCTGCAGTCATCTGCCAGTAACTGCTCTCTCAGGAAATCTAGGGCCCTCTGTTTCATTTATTCCCACATTTCTTTTATTTTTTCTAAATTTCAGTTCTTCCATTTTAATTATCTAAATTCTGCTTTTTCCATTTTTGCTTCATCCCTCATTTTCATTATGGTCCTATTTTAAACCTAAAAAGTGTGGGATTAAAAAAAAATAAATCGAGCCTCCAATTGCAGTTTCTGATATGGTCGAGGTGGGCAGTTGCCTCGTGCTGCATCTCGTCAGGTGCACCCAGTCATGCCGCCCCCCCAACCCAGTGGCGGATCTAGGATTTTTCTGAGTAAGGACCCATGAGGGGGCCATGATATTCATAGAGGGGCCAAGTGTTTGTTCAACATTCTTGCACATAAAGCCTCGGTTTTGGTAAGGTGTGTAAATTTAACCAGTCACATATGTTGCAACAATTGTAATGTAATGTTATTTAAAAAAACTTAAATTTTCCTTATCAATTTTACATGCATATTTACTGTACATGGATAAAATATTCACAAAGCATGTGAGAAAATGAAGCCATTTGCCAGATGAAAGATATTTTTTGCAAAATTGTTCAAGTCTTTTAAAGAAGAGAAGACTTCTGTAAGGCTGTGTCCAAAACGGCAGGACGGGTCCTCCGAAGGTCGAATTCGTCGGCYGCATACGTCACAGCGCCGCGACGAAGGACGTCCAAAACCGAAGACTCCTCCRATGCGGCCGACAAATACGTCCTTCCTTTGGCCCGAATCGAAGGACAGGTCTGATGAATCCTTCCCAGCCCAGCATATCCCATAATGCATTGCAGCCCGACCGGAGATTTTTTTATGCTAGTAATGGCGGACGAAGCGAGAGAAAAGAATACATTTTAAATAAAAATATGGTGATATAAAAATAAAAATAAATTAGCGGTTGTAATTCTAATACTTTTATCATTTGTATGGACATGTTTTTACATATTATTTTTTCGTCATAAAAAACGCGAAATAAACATGCGCCTACAGCGGGTCAATTAATTCTTCAAATGATACTTTTAAGTTACTTTTATAGTTTTGTGATATTAATAATGCTAATGTATTGATATTTTTCTAGTTTTGATTTAAGTTTGCTTGTTTAGCGTCGTCACAGTTGTTAGGTGACAAGACGTACGCCGGGGTAAGGAGGGGAGGCTAGACCGTCCAAATCCACAGCCTCTTTTTTTCCGGTCTTCCCAGTCTAACAAGGACCCGGCCCGCCGCGACCAAGTAGTCTGGGTCCTCCGGAGGACCCGGCCTCTCGTTTTGGACACAGACTAAGATTGATTCATTCTGGACTTTACTGTTTGACTCATTACTGCCTCTAGTATTTGGGCATGGAACTGCACCCACCATCATTGCTCTCAGGTAAAGGACAGGTGAGTGACAGGACAGGGGCACTTCAAGGGGCCAGTCAGATTTCAGCAGGGGCCAATGACTCTGTGGCCCCGCCCCTGCCCTGATCTAAAAAAAATGCATTATTTCACATGTCTTAGACCCACATAGTAGTTTGCTATGGCTCACACTAGGGGTACGTGAGTCGTTGTTCGCCCAGGGTGCCAAACAGGTTAGGAACACCACTGCTCTTATCCATGGCTGACCTACTTTTATTTTATTTTTTTCCTGTCTGTGTTAGAACCCACCCCACTACAGGGGGCGACAGCAGACAAGCACTGCAAAAAATGTCCACCTAATCAAGTTTTAAAACATTATATCCAGTCAAAAAGTCTTTTTGATCTTATTTTGAGACTGATTTACTAAACAAGAACTGATTGTGTAAGAATAATCATCTTGTTTTCAGAATGTGTAAGATTATTTGTCTTGTTAGTCTGAAAATTTGACTCAAATTAAGTCAAACATTTCTGCCAGTGGAGTAAGAACATTTTACTTGGTAAGATTTTTTAAATACTTGATTTGACTCATTTTTTTCTTATTTCAAGAATCTTACCAAGTAAAATKTTCTTACTCCACTGGCAGAAATTTTTGACTTAATTAGAGTCAAATTTTCAGACTAAGAAGACAAATAATCTTACACATTCTGAAAACAAGATGATTATTCTTACACAATCAGTTCTTGTTTAGTAAATCAGTCTCAAAACAAGATCAAAAAGACTTTGTGGCTGATATAAGATTTTAAAACTTGGTAAGATGGACAGTTTTTGCAGTATAGAAACTACTACATACTGTATTTTACCCAACCTCCCAAATGAGCAAACTCTGATTTCGTGTTTTGTACCAGATTCCATGATTCCATCACGTTTTCCACATCAAGGAAGTCATAGGGTTCTAGACATCACCCTGCGTCTTTCCTCACTTGATACTTATATTAAAAATCCTGTTTTGTTTTTTTAAATACAGTCAAGGACTGTCTTTTTCCTTAAAAACTGCTTTACAGTGAACAACAGYCTCTTTCTATTACAGCTTTAAGAGTCTGCAGCCCATTTTTCCCTCACTCCAACCCAGTTTTAAAAGTTTACTTCAAACAAACGGGCTCTTCTGTTTGACCCCATCATGCCTGACCTGCCTGGTTTTAAATAAATGGTTGAGGATAACGTGTGCAGCAAAGGCCAGGGAAATAAAAACCCATGTTAAAAAAAAGGAACAGAATTCTCTTGTTCTAAAAGTAAAGTTGTTCAAAGACAAACAGGCCTGAAGGAGGTAATCCGAGACAATCCCTGACCTGAGACGGATCAGTGAGTCTGCAAAATCAAAAATACCGGAGGGATTTGTTTCGAGTCTCGTTTGGCTCATCTGATTGTGTCCCAACAGCCTCCCACAGTCAGGAGGTGAAAGACAAAGACGTCCAGCTGTGAGGGTGTCAACCTACGTTGCTCGCTGCTGCTTCATCAGCTGTCCGAGCCTCTTTGGTGTCAGCAGGCAGAGCTCCTCGCAGCACTTTCACTATGTAAAGAGACGCGCTGAAGGGAGGAAAAAACCCATCAGCAACACAAACGAGAGCTTTTAAGTCCACTTTCTGTTTAAACCAGCTACCTACATGTGAGAAAACGAACAAACCTGAAGTAGTAAAGACACACGGAGGAGTCGTTCAGCTTCTGGGCTTTCCTCATCACTTTGTCCAGCAGGTCATGCAGCTCCCCCTGTCGGTCGGCAGCCGTCCTGCAGTAAACTTTAGACCTACACAGCTGGTTCCTACAAACAGGAGAAATAAATATATCTGAGCATCAACATTCACACAAAGATTTCAGATCCTTGAACCCTAACAGCTCCAGACTGAACAGGCAGATCTAAATAAACCCAGAGATTTTCACTTGAAGATGTCCGCAGCTTTCCGGAGGAAGTCTTGTTCCTGCTGCTCGCTGCCGGACCTCATTCCTCTGTCGATGATGTTCAGCAGAGGCTCCACCAAACCCAGGATCAGAGGACTGCCAGCCTGCCGGGCCAAGAACACCTCGAGCAGGTCCAACACCTGCGACAGACGAGCCGAGGAGGGAGGAGTCACGGCTGATACTTCAGGATCAAAAGCTTCCTGTAAACCCGTCCTGGTCAAACCGTTACCTTGATCCTGAAGTCCCGGACCAGCATCCGCTCCTTCTGCAGCTTCGCCTTCTCGTCCTTCTTGGCTTGGATCCTCATCTTCTGCTCCGAGAAGAGCGTCGACAGACTCTTGTCCAGCTTCATCATGGCTTCATCGTCTAGATCTTCATCACTGCTGGCGTCTTCCTCAGTGGCCTGTATAATGTTTCAATTTAAACTGTTGAGATTATTTAAAGTGTTTTGTTTTTACTTCAGGCAACAATAGTTAGAGCTAGCTAAACCTAAAAGTAAAAAAAAGAATTAGCTCAGAGCTAGATACTAGCTAATGCTAAAAGTAACAAAAACAAAACAAGTGGAAATGGATAGTTAAAAGCTTAAAGTAGATAAATTTCTACCTAGGAGCTAAAGTAACAAAACATTAGCTAAAGCTAGAAGCAGCCCAATGTGTTTGAAAAGACCTACAACTGCTGACACGCCACATTTTAACTCATATTTATAACCAGGGTTGCACATAAAATGTTCGGTCTGGTTCTCAGGGGAGAACCTAGGGTTGTTGCTTGGTGCTCACTCATATTTTCCTTCACCCATTTAACACATTTATCTAGAGGGGTGTCAGAGCATCTAACGTCCCCCTGTTCTGTTTTATGACTCCTATCAGCTGCAACGTCTCAGGACATCATRTYAAATCAGTCCAACAAGTTTTTAAATTTATTCTTTTACTCTGCATAAATTTTTTAAACTACCTAAGTRGCCGAGGGGCTGGGCGTATGTCATATAAACATCCCAAACTGAACATTTCGTGGTTAAATGTCTTTTAGACTAACATGTCCCTCAGATGGACAGCTCCTGTAGTTTGGTCTTCTGGATTTTTGGCTTTGGTTAAACCAGCTTTCTACTAGGAATGTGCGATATGGCAAAAAATTCATATCACGATATACATCATGATGAGTGGCGGTAATGATATATGTCACGATATAAAACTTATAATAGAAAATAAATAAATCACACATTAATTGAGTGGAATAAATATGTATAGGTAAAAAAATTAGACCTTAGAATCTCCTTTAAGGGACGCCTTAAAGTCTCCCATAAAAATCTAAATTTAAGGGAGATCTACCATAGATATCTGCATCCATTGGGTGTTGTGTTTGGAATCACCTGCTTCGTTTTAAGGTGGTAAAACAAATTGCTTTTATTTATTCCTTTCTTCACACTTTGCAGATTATTTTTTCTGCACTCCACCTGTTTAATCTGTGCGCGCTCCGGCGAGGTGACAATCATTATAGTCGCGCTTTGGAGTGCGCGCGCATTCGGCCGTGCGTCATGGCGCTATGACGGCAGGAGAAACGAGGTCCAGACTGATTTTTGTGCATCCCACCTGAGCACTGACTTCACCTGCACTGACAGTCGCCTCGCTGCGTGGAAATGAATGGAGAGCGAGCGACGTCGCCTCCCGTGTGTCGAGCCCTTCACACATGCAGCGGCATGCGCTCCTCCTGCAGCAGGCAGTGTGGTCGGTCGGCATCCGACCGGAGGACGCGCCGTCACGTAAACATGTAAACAGTTCGGTGTTCATTTTCACACACCTGAACCAGGTCCGGATAAGTTTTTTCCCCCTCTTCAGCCAGGCTGCTTCCCGCTTCCTCTGTTTTGACTCCAGCTCGTTGCATCATCAAAAAGAGTTGCGCGGTTGGCCGGTAGACTACAGATCTCTATCATAGGACAAATTGATATCGTTTCTACCGTATATCATTTATATCATGCATTCCTACTTTCCACACTCTCCAATACAAGCAGCAAATATCTGTCTTTTGCACAGAGCAAAATAACTTAAAACATTCAAATGCTTTATTTGTTAGACTGATTTATTTTTTCAAAAGGCTATTTTATTCAAAAAGATAATATTATTTAGATGGTTTCAGCTCATGTAATTATTTATTCTTCATATTTGATCATTTATTGAATTACATTTATCCCAGAAAAGCTGTATCACAG